AGAGTTATTTAATGATGTATTGTACTCAGTTTTATTTATGTTAATATTCCTAATATCTTCAGTATCTGTCTATATTTCTGAGATGAGGTATTATGTACATTATTTACATTTTCGGACTATTGTCCTAATCTTTGTCGCCAAATTTATCAGAACGTTTCGGCTGTTGTACGTTCCAGCCTTCTTCAGGTGGTTGGAATGTCGAACTGAACCCTTTATCTCGCTCACTGGGGTGAAAAGTTCTAGTTCCACGTACCATGTTTAAGGACACATGGCACAGTGGATAAAGGTTTGGTTAGATCCAGTGACAGGAACCAAAGAGTGTGAGTTCAATACCCGGTTAAGGCAGTGGAAAAATTCTGAGGGAAATTAACAGGAAATAACTGATAACTGACATCCATTAAACATGGCATTAAAATTGCTAAATGTTGGCCCAATGATGGAATCCATAGAGACACCATCGCATTGTATGTATATGTTATTTTGTCGTCATAAAAAGGAACTTCTATTGTGCACATCAAGAGTAGTTTTTTTTGTTTTAAGTATTAGGTCGAATTAGTTTATAATCTATCAGTTGCTTCTCTGTCTTCGGGTAGAGTGCGCTCAGGGTCAGCTCCGTCAAAGGACGGAGTCACAACTGAGGAAAATTATGCTGACAGGTACCCGCCCTTGGGGAACAGATGCCCGCGTTCCCGCCCTCTCATTGCACCAGAGAGAGGGATCGGTGCTCGCACCGAGGCCAGCGCAACTCCTGGTGTACGTCGGACTCCCCACATTAAATCGACCTTGTGTTACAACCTGATCTCGTTGGGGTGGGTGAATAAATACAAATATTAGGTCGAAATTTTAATGGAGGGAGAAATGGATTATTGTAGATATTGTTTATGATAATATTTCTTGTTTCCTTGACTGGGACGCGTTGCTAAATAAACTTTCAACGTCGAGTGTGGCTGAAGATTCATTACTGGGAAGTTTTTAGAATTTGGAGTAGTTCGTCTGTTGACTTGATGCTGTATTTATTTGGAATGTAAGGTGTAATTAGTGGATTAAGGACTTTGTTTAGTTGGTAAACATGGGTGGGGATTTGGGATATGACAAATCGGAGAGGGAAGTAAGGTTTATGTATTTTACTATTCCATATATATATATATATATATATATATATATATATATATATATATATATATATATTCTGGTTTCTAGTCTCCAATTATTTTTGGAAGTTCCAAGCTATTCAGTCCTCCGTTATTAGCTGTGATAAGTTTGTTGATTTTTTATTTTAATTAGTTAATCATTTTTTCGGACTTTTCAAATTTGGTATTGTCGTCAAGTAGTTGTTGTACTTATTTAATATAACAAAAAGTATTGCTTTTATCCGCTTTTTAAACAATTATATTGTTGTGGTTTCGTAGTTCTTTAGCCAGAGTTTTTGTTGTTTTGATAAAAGTTTGGATGTGTTTTTCCCCCTCATTTTAACACCTCAGCCTTAAGTAGGTCCCGGATTTCTGGTTTTGAATTTATCAGTTGGTACTCCTTGAATTTTTGTATGTTTTGGTACACCATTTCTATTTCAGTTTTTTTTTTTATCCATTCTATTATATTTTTTGTAGAGATGACAATTGGGTTTGGGGTTGAGTAATTCTTTTTGATGGTTTCTTTGTTCATATTTGGAGATATTTATAAACTTATTATTATTATTTAGAAGATGAATAAGTACTTTGTATAGTGTATTAAGTTTGTTTTGTATGTTCAAACGGTCTTGTGTTTCAGACGTGTTAGTAATTTCTGAAAGTTTATATAGGATTTCATTGAGTTGTTCAGGAGTAGTGTTTGATTGTAGTTTGCTGTAGGATTTCTTGCGATTGATAGTATATATATATATATAATTCCAAGAACGATGTAATCCCGTGAGTTCAATGTAAAAACAGAGAAAATGAAGATTTGATGAATTTGGACCAAATCCCGATCCTAAGGAAATAAATTATAATCCCATGAACCCTTAAAGTTGTCTGTTGCGTAATATATATATATATATATATATATATATATATATATATTTATAGATATACAGCACATACGTCCATCCCAAATCATAACAATAATATCAAAACTTAAAACCATATTCATTTGCTAGACAAAAAACTTATTGAGTATTACTCGCTTACTTTTGACTCATCAAACTTGCACTTTGTGTCCTCCACAAATTTTGACTTACCTTTCAAACACCTGATAAATATTCATGAACTTCCTCAAATTTTAAAACAATGACATACTTACACTTATATATAAACATGTGCAACAAAATAAATCGTTACATTTGTCTTCATAGACACTCTTAGAGGGCGAAATGCGTCGGCTAAGTATAGTTTTACCTCTTGTTTTTTTATTCATATATATATATATATATATATATATATATATGCACATATATACCTCATGTTTTAATGTCAGTTTTACCTCATGTTTTTTATTATATATATATATATATAATAAAAAACATAAG